CCGCTGTTTGTCCGTCTAGGAAACATGACGACGGAGGAGAAGTTCAACGCCGCCGTGAACGTGATCAGGAGTCTGCCGAAAAACGGTAGGATAATCTTACACCCATGTTATCATCGCATTGGCACGGCGAGTTGTGGCGCGCCTCTAAAGCGCGGATGCATATCTCGAAAGTGAATTTTTTTCCTTCGCGTGCATACACTCCGAAACATTTTACCTCTTACACACTCGCATCCGCTGTTGCGTTCGCCTGAGAACGCGGCAGATATCACAGTGCAATCGCTTTTTGCTTTCCACGCTTGTTGATTTCTTTCCCTTTCTCGCCTCTCTTCCTTCGTACAACTTTACTGCGTGCTGACTAAAGTCCACGTCGTTGCTGATATTTATCTTCTTTGCGTAAGAATGGCTCATTACTTGTTCCTGATGATGAGAAGCCGATAATAAGTAATTAGGTTTTTCCTTGTACTTAGAAGCGTCGAAAAAACCGACTGCAAGATTATTATGTGTATATATATTTTTTTTTATATACGTTTTCTGAACACTTTATATAAATTTCTTTAATGTGAAAACATTCGAGCAATGACAGTAAAAATCACACGACATGGGTCTTTAAACTTCTAGCCTTTTCCATTATCGCAGGTGTTTTTATTATGCGGAAAAAAATGACGAAGATTTTACATGCGTCATTACGCGCAACCGTGCGGAGAAATTGGCAAGATCTAATGATGTCCGAGGAAAGTGAATGTTCTCAAGTCAATTTCTTATTCGTGGTGTCGAGAGTGATATTAGAACAAAAAATTCTATTTCCCGAATGCTCGCGTACTGTACGGAAGAAGCCGTCTCCATGTCCGTCGTATTGTCTGTTTGGACGGCACACATTTTGAGAGTCTCTGCGTTGTAACGCGAATAACCTTCACATTTGATAAATGTGCCAAAAAAAAGAGACAAGTTTGCTGATTTGCATTTCTCATTGCCTAATATTATTTAGTTCTTTTGAAAAAAAAACGGCAATTTTCTTTTTGCAAACGAATTATATAATAAGCGGTGGATATAAATTTTGTTTACAGAAATATGACTATTTTTCTATAAAAGTTTTCTTATTAGGAGCTTGTTTTTTAAATCAAAATGTTTGTTATTTTCAATATTGTATTAATACTGATTTTGTATCATTCATATCTATATACATAATGTGCATATACATAATATACATAATATATTTTTTTACTATTTAGCCTTGATGTTGGATATTGTACATTTCAAGTATACTTTCCAGTCACTTCATATAGCTAAGTGACTGTATTACTCCCCAGTCCCTACTTTACTTTCTAACAGTGTAAGTCATGCTTAGTGGTTAAAACTAGAATGTTCCTCTTCACTGATTACAAAAAAAACTTGTATTGCACCATCAATTATGAAATTTTGTTAATAAGCTTATTATTTAACGCTAATTATTTATTTCTAGGTCACTGACAATATAAAATTAAAACTCGTTATCATACATAATCATGCATAATCTCTTGATACTCAATCTTTGTATTCTTGAACTTGCTTATTGACAAAAAATATATAATTGCAGTGCAACGGTGAAGTATAAAGTACAGCATGCATAATACAAAAGAACGAATTTCATATAAATATATGCATTCGAATTTTTATTAGAAGATACCTTAATGAGGCACTACCAACTAAGATAATAAGCTTTCACAATAATTGCTAACAGTTATTTCCTATTAATTTCGAAGATCATGAATTCCATTAGAAATACGATTAGAATGTTTTCACTATGTCTAATATTTATTGCTATCGAATAAAACTTATGTATTTTAAAGTAAATATATATATATATATACATTTTATATATATACGAAGAATTAAATTTTTGTGTTTCAATAATTGCGCTGTGCTTTATTATTTATTTAATTATTTCAGTATTGAAAGCTTCTACAGTTATTGTTATTAATTAATTTATTATTATTTAGTATACTAATATAAATATCCTAATTTAATATAAGGGTCTTTTAAAACTATGTAAAAACAGTAGAACTTCGTTTATCCAAACATAGGGAGATAAGATAGTTCTGATAACCGAATGGTTCAAATGATAGAAATTCATTAGCTCTTCCCTTTACTAGTACTTATTAATTAAGATAAAGGAGCTGAGACATTTAGAAAACTGAACTTGAGCACGTCGAGCTCTTATTTTTCGAATTATGGCTCCATAGTTCGGATAATTAAGAATTCAACTATAAGCTTGTTCTTTTCGTTCAGTCGTTTTTGTACGGTTCATTTTTTTTCTTTTTCTTTTTACATTGGAGAGAAAAACTAAAGATAACAAACCTTATAAGTTTGTATATTTGGAACTGAGCACATTTTGACTTTGGTCGTATAAATAAAATGCAAATAAACGGAATTCTACTGTATTATATATATTGTATGTAATGATGCATAAATTGTCATATCATTTATCTATTTCGTCATGCCTAAGAGAATACTCTTTTAACTCTTTGGCCAACAAGTCAAGGAGATAGAAATAAATCATCATTGTATCTCCATTTAATGGAGATACATATTTTTATTTCTATCTCCATTTAATACTTGGTTAATCAGGAAAGGACATTTAAATTTTGATTAAAATTATCTGTTCTTGTAATACATATTTATGTGTTGTGATGTGTTGCAACATTTAATTTTGGAAGAATAATTAATCAAACCAATGACAAATAATTTTGTAATTTTAATATACAATGTTTCAGGAGCGTACCAACCCAGCCATGAGATTATGCTGCGTTTTTATTCATATTACAAACAAGCAACTGAAGGACCCTGTCAACAATCTAAACCCGCATTCTGGGAGGTAATAAAGAAAGCAAAATGGGATGCATGGACACGTCTTGGCAATATGAGCCGTACAGAAGCCATGAATAATTATGTGGAGGAATTGAAGAAAGTAAGTATAGATTTTTGTAGATTAAAAGCTCACACAAAATGAATACGTTAAACAAGAATCGTCATCATATTGCAGATTGTCGAGACGATGTCTTACACAGATAATGTGGCAACGTTTCTCGGCAGTTTGGATTCTTTTTATGAAAGCGTACCAGCTGAAGATTTGGAATTACTCGTGGGACCAGTACTGGAGCGTATACGCTCTCAACCGGGATCGCCATTGTCTGGTTCACCATTAGGTTCATTTCTTTTTAACTTTTAGCAATATTTCAATTTTATACAAATAACATTTGCAAGTCATAAATACTTTAGCTTATTTCTCGAGATATAAACAGATTTTTGTGAAAGTAAGTTATAAAGATATTTTATAAGTAGTAATACCGGTATTTTCGAAAAATTGTACTGTATACTGGTATTATGTTATATTAGTATTTTCGAAAAATTATACCGGTATGTCATACCGGACGTCATACCGTCACCGGTTTATACTAATCAGAGTTTTATTTTAATTATTACATAATATTTAAATATATATGCCAGTATATTACTGGTATTTTTATATCGTTTTAATTGCTGACATATATTATGAATCGGATACCAAGAAATAAGTTAAAGTATTTTTTATTTATATAAACATGTTTACTAAACATTTAAATTGAGGATATTAAAGATATCACAGAGGTTTATTAGGTCAGTTCTTAAAGAAGCGAATTTCTATCAGAATTATCAATGTTAAATCGTAATGTAATAACAGTATGTTCCAAGTTTTTTAAGCACAATATATATTGAAGAGTGTTTTCTTCTTTTGTATAAAGCTATTTTCTTATTTTATTAGTGTCGAGAGAAACATCACCTCACAGAGTAATGAATGCTTCTCGGCACATAACGAGTAGTTTGGAAACCAGCCCGACCAGCAGCCGCACCGCGAGCCCGCTGCCACAGGACACTGATGGCGAAGAAGAGGAATTTATAGATACTGTTGAAGTATGACATTAACATTACGTTTCAGATTACGTTAATTATTCTTTTACGAATAATTCAATTTTATTACAGTCAGCGCCGGAGAGAGCGCAAAAAGATGCACTTAAGTCCACTATTGCTTCTCAAAAGATACAAACTACAGCAAAGAACGGAATTGATCATTCAAGTACAGAAAATGTTATAAAAGAGAACACTGAATTAACTAATGGATACAGCAACACTAACGGTCACGCGGAGACGATATCGGAGAACCATAGAGAGAGAAGTAGACAGAGAACGAAGAAAGATGACAATAAAGCCAATGCAGAATTCCTGAATCAAATCGCGACAACTATGCAGCATCTACAGAGAGATCTAGATCGCATAACGGCCAGAGTACGAGGTTTGGAAGGGCAAGCTTTACAAGCACTGGCACCTCCGACAGTACGTAACATAATTATTATTTAGCTATGTCTAATTTTAACAGGAAAAATAATACCTTTGATCTCTTTAAAATAACAAAATGAGAAATATTTTTTTTATTTATTTTATCTATCACGCTGATGTCAACCTTTTTTTTTTTTAGGAGCACACTGTTAGACGAAAGTATCTGAAATGGTGGCCGTTGCAAGAATGTCCGCCGCGTCTATTCGTTTTACTAATCTTATGGCCATTTGTTGCTCACTTACTGATCAACTTTATGCAGCGTTATCGCCAACGAAGACTATGATGTCACGATTATCATTCCTACGCAGCTGAGCACACATTTTCCAGTGTTTGGATTATTAATATTGAGTTATAGTCTACGTACACACAGATTTTTGTTTAATTTTATATTCCTTATAGAGACAAAGCTGTCCTAATGCAATCTACGATTACATTAGTAAACGTGAATTGTGATAAAAATGACTAGATCAATCTCTGTATATTTTTGCATATGCGGCCTGTTTCGGAAGTTGCACTTTCTCTCGCCTGTAGATTCACTGCTGAATAACGGGTTGATTGATCCACAGCGAAAGTTTGATTGAAAGACACTTCTGCAGCTATGTTAAATAACAGATATATGACTTAATATTTTGTTTTTTATGCATTTTTATAAAACGATGCAAACATTCTAAAACATATATATAAAAAGATACACAACTTGTGTTCTTTTGTATATTCATGTTTGTATTGTTTTATAATAAAGTGTATGATATTTTTATGTACACTACAGATGTACGATGTTTTACTGCATATTTAAAAATGTGCGAAATAATACATCGATACATGAATTATTTTATTCCTTGTGTTTATATTTTAATGTTTATATTTTAATGTTTATATTTTAATGTTTATATTTTAATGTTTATATTTTAGAAGAAGGTTCGTGACTTGCGGGACAATCTGTATAAAAATTATAAAGGTATAATTCTATTAATGTTTTCTAAGGTGGATTGTATGTAATATATTTAGTTCTGTAGTCGTATAGATTGTAATATATTCATACAGAGAAAGTAAATTTTTTTGCACATGCAAACGTACAATAGTCAATTTGCGTTTTATGTGTAAATTATGTGGGTTTTTAAGAAAGAAAAAAAAAAGAAAAAACTTAAAGTGTATTACTATCGATACTCCGACACAATGATAAATGTTAATTACTATTAATACGGATTATAATTCTAGTTTCAAAAGAATATTTATACGTACCGAGTGAATTGCGATAAATTTTATGTACATATGTGCAACGTGAAAATATACAAATTTTTAATTATCAGCTAAAATTTGCGTTACACTCATATACATTTTTTTTTTTCGTTACTAGCAAAATATTTTACAACTAAATTCGCCTGCCATTGTTGATACAGTGAGAGCGTCCGTTCCCTTTTAGCCACATTTTTCCATGAACGGGAGAAAGTAGAAAAGGCACAAAGTAGAAAGTGTAGCTAAAGTGCTATTCCTCTTTATGAATAGCAAGTCATGTAGACGTATACACAAGGTGAATCAGCAAGAATACTTTCTTAGATCCAAAGCTGCGAGAAAATAAACAGAATAAAACTTGAGTAACTTTTCATAGAGAACTAATATATTAAGCATCACGTCTTTGCTTTCTCTAGGTATTTTTTTCCTATTAACGTAAGATTAATGATGTTTCTTTCGATAGACATATATATGTCTGTATTTCTCGAATATTTTTTGTTGATGTCAAAATGAATTCAATCGTCCTGAAATAATTTCAGACTCGAAAAGTTATAATCCAACAAGGAGATCAAACTTCTAAGCTCAAATAAAACTTTGTAATTTTATTTAAAAATTTGAAGATATCTTCTTGTTGAATTTTAAATTTTCAAGTCTGAAATTATTTCAGAACGATATACGATCGAATTCATTTTGATATCAGCAAGAAATATATGAAGAATACAAAAATATATAATTTTATCGAAAGAAACATCAGGACTCGGTTTCACAATTCGCGGTTCAACTCTTTGACCGGTTCAATTCTAGAATTAGAAAGAGATGAGGAATAGTTGAACCGATAAAATAAAAAGTTCATCGCGAATTGTGAAACCGAGTTTAAGCTTACGTTGTGTTATTTGTATTAATATATGCTTCAATTTTCTACTAAAACTATGTCATTTACATCAATATACATCAAAATGTTAAAAATGTTTGAAAAAATTAGGATCTAACGAGAAGATATCTTCAAATTCTTTTATGCCCTTTTCCACCGATTAAGCTCGTTTCTATCAACGTAGATTAACTTTAATCTCAGTTCAACTTACTCTTTATCTTTTTCTAATTCTCAAAACTGGAAAAAGATGAAGAGTTAGTTAAACCGAGATTAAAATTAAACTATATTGGTAGAAAGGGGCCTTAATAGATTTAACTTTAATCTCGGTTCAACTTATTCTTCGTCTTCTTCTAGTTCTAAAGATTAGAAAAAGATGAATAATAAGTTGAACCGAGATTAAAGTTAATCTACATTGGTAGAAACGGGCATTATTCAAATACTTGTCTCTTTAAATTTACTAAAGCTATGTTCCCAGATAACATTATTTATGTTGCATAACATATTCAAAAGACGTCTTCTAGATATCTTATGCAACATGCATGTTATCTGGGTTATTTACATTCTGACGCTGTATGTGTCAGAATGTTAAAAAAGGAGTTATCTAAGCTGGATTCATAGATTTTTTTCTTTCAAGTTTAGAAGAGGAAGTCTGCAAGTTTTATGTTCGACGAATAATTATCGGTGATTCATTCACGCTACATATGCGTCCAATGTCAAGTACCAAGAGAACCATACTTCACGAAGATCGGAATGCAACTCGCACTCCCTGTTGCAAGAACCCGCTGTGCAACCGGCGGTGCAACTTGCTGCATGACTTGTTTACAATGTTTACATAATGGGACTCCCCTTACCCCTACACTTCTCTATTTTGGAACAGCTGTTTCCTCGTCAACTATACTTCTCTCGTGCTCATCTCTACCCTTTTTCCCGTTACACGTGACCGTACACAACGGAGAATGGCGAAAGTGAAGGAGCGACAAAGGAGGACAAACGCGACACACATACTTCTACTACTCAACTAGGCCGTCAGAATATAAAGGAGAGAGGGAGTAAGAGAGAGAGAAAGAGAGAGAGAGAGAGAGAGATTGGAGCAGTGGGGAAACGGAAGATTCTCCGGACGGTGGGAGAAGATCTCAGGTGGGGGACAACTCGATGATCCCGGCGATGAGATCCTTTTGTGCCCGAATGTGTGTGAAGTTGTGCGCACATTGTGGGCGTGCGTATGTACACACAGCTGCTCGGTATCTTCACCATACGTCGAAAATGTGTACGCGGCGCGCGAATATTCGTAGATTTTAGCTGACCACGCTCCGATTCATCCGATCACGTGCGGTCGACACATGCCGCCCTTCGCTCGCGAATTCGCGACAACGCCGAGCCGAAGTCCCCACGCAGCATAGACACCGGAATGCTGCTCCTCGTGCTCGCAAGCGTTCTCACCACCAGCTGCTCCGGCGCCGGAAATCTCGACCTGGGCACGATCGTCTTCGCGAACGTCGTATGTGAATTTAGATCACGCCTTTTCAACTTTTCGCTCGGTGTTAACGCTGTCGTTGTCCGATGCTTGTTTGACGCTCGTTCTTATTGTTTTCTTTTTATTTTGGCAATTTAACTTGATTTAATTCTGACATATTGCGTAATCCAGCTTCGGTTCAAGACTGTGTTTCGAGACCGACAAATAACATCGGTATACAATTCACTTTGGATGAACTGGAAATTGTAAAATTCATACAGATATATTATTAGACGTCAAGATCTTGATCGAACATAGCCTTTTCCCTTATTGTGTTGAATATTTCTCGGTCGATTTTTACTTAATACTGTTTTTTTATTGCTTTATATCAAGTTTAATATCTTTATTATGCAATATTGTTTTCTGTTGTAAAGCTTAACGTTTTTATTATTTCAATATGTATTAATTATGAGTGCCTTCCAACAAGCAACTCGGTACAAATGAGTTTTTATATCATTTGTAAAGTATATGCAAAATTTTAGAGACTTTATTGTTTGCCTTGATGCCTGGTGACTCATAAACTTATTGCGGAAACATAATGAAGCTCATTTTTGCTTACAGTTGTACAGACATGGAGATAGGACTCCTATTGCGCCTTACACCAACGATCCTTATAAAAATGAATCGTTGTGGCCGGTTCCATTTGGACAATTAACAAATGTAAGATAATTATAATTAACAAATGTAAACATAAATAATTATATGCGAAAATGTTTTTGTTTTAATATAATAGGTATTGTTCTTGGTCTTATCGTTATCTTATCTTATCATACATAAACATATTTTAATCATTTGAAATGCAATACTGTGGAGTTTACTTTGCCAAGTGGCCAATTTGGCATTCTATATAAAGAAACTGAAGAAAATAGACTTATACAATAAGTCAAGTTTTAAATAGATCAGGTATAGCAGATATGAAAAAGAAATTTCACTGATATGAAAATATTAGAATATATTAAACTTATCTTAAGAATTACTTTTCTTGCTGTATATTGATTTCTAAAAGCTTGCGCATTAACTTTATTAATGTTTAACGCTTGGCAAATGTAGATTGGGAAACACCAACATCTACTTCTCGGACGCTGGCTAAGGAAACGATACTCCGGTTTTTTAAACGATATTTACACGCCATATGACATTTACATTCAAAGTACGGACGTAGATCGTACCCTGATGTCAGCCGAGGCGAATCTCGCAGGTCTTTATCCGCCGGTGAAGAATGAAATATGGGACAACAACATCTATTGGATACCGATCCCTGTGCACACTATACCGGCACAGGAAGACTACGTGCTGAAGACGAGCAAGTATTGCCCGCGATACAAATACGAGCTGGAGAAGTTCTTAACATCACCGGAAATGGAAAGCATAAAAAAAAGAAACGCGAAGCTCTTTGCCTACTTAACTGAGCACAGCGGGGACAATATAAATTCGATTAGAGCAGTTGAACATCTATACGATAATTTATATATTGAAGTATGTTGAGATGTTCCCTGTTATCAATTGTGTATACTATTACATATCATAACTTGCTCATTTACTTAGGAAAACATGCGATAAAACTAGCTTTGATTTATTTACAGACATTGTACAACAAAACTCTACCACAGTGGACGAAATCGGTGTTTCCAGAGAAGTTGAAACCTCTCGCTATACTTAGTTTCATGATAGAGGCTTACAACAAGATACTTCAAAGATTAAAAACAGGTATGATCAGTGTATCGATCATTTATTAATAATTTACTTATATTTACATATTCTAATATGTTAACATTTTTTATGTGGAATATTTTTGATATTTTAATACATTAATATTTTTTACGCTTTTAAAGATATTTGTTAAATCTTCTCCATTATACAATCGACATTCAATTTTAAAAACATTAGGTCCACTACTTGGAGAAATGATAGATCACATGGTCAAGAAAGCACAACATACCTTAGAACCTGATAGAAAGATATGGATATACAGTGCTCATGATGAGACCATAGGAAATTTACTTATGACTTTGAAC